GTGTGCCGGGGGGAGGGGAGGGGGGCCCCCCGAGCACCCCACCACCCCTCCCACTCCAGACTGCAGCCACTGGCTCCGGAGTGCACCAGACCGGCCTGAAGCACATGCTTTCCCTTGCCATCCGCTGCCCCCGGGGCGATGGAGATGGCTTAGGGAGCGCCTTCCACCCACACCTCGCCCCTGCCGGGGGTGTTGGGGGAGGAGGTAAAAGAGACGTGATTCTAGCTGGGATAGGACCAGAGCGTGCGAGCGGCATTTGGGTGCAGCTGCCCCAGGGGCAGCTAAGGGGGTTGACTATTTGGGTATTTTCCTCCTCTAAATTAAAATAAAAAATCTAACTAGGACAATGAAAGGACTGAATTATTATCACCCCCAACACACACACACACACACACACACACACACACACACACACACACACACACTCCTACACACACACACCCTTATCCAGCCAGTTTCCATCTATTAGCCAAGAGCAAAACTGCATCTGAGCAGGAACTGGGAACTCGGGGGACAAAATGTATGTGGAAGGGGCTGTGGAGGTCATCTGGTTTAGTCCTTATTTTATTTGATTTCATCTTAGTTATTTGAGACAGCTCAGGGCAAAAGCCACTGACAACAGGGTTTCATTTGCCCCACTGGGCTTGAACTCACTGTGTAGCTGAGGAGAGCCTTGAACTCTTTTTCTGATCGCCCTGCTTCCATTTCCCAAGTGCTGGGATGACAGTGTGTGCCACCAAAGTGAGCCTAACCCTTTCATTTTACTACGCAAAGCACACAGGGCTGGGGGATGCAGCTCAGTGACGGTGTGCTTGCCTTGCATGCTCAAAGTGCTAAATTTGATCCCCAGCATCCTAAACAGATGGGGGGCGGGGGTGTCATCTAGAGGGTAAAAAGAGATAAAAACCAACGTTCTTGAGATCAGACACGTGGCAGAGTAAGTGGCCAAGACCACCAAGTTCAGTATCAGGCCCTTTTTTTTTTTTTGCACTACCATTTATCATCTGTGTGGCTTTGGGCAAATTACCTAACCTATCTGAGCTCCAGTTTCTTCTCCTGTAAAATGGGATTGACACTATAAATAATTGACCTTAAAGTGTTTAGCCCAGTTCATGTAATTAATTGGTCAGGACTTATAACTTATCATTCTCATTAAGTGGCGGCGGGGGGTTGGGGGGGGGTTCCTCCAAATTAAGTTCCTGGTGGTTTGTTTGAATAATACATCATAGTTTCCAAAATCATTTACTTGTCTGTTTGATTATTTGTTGTTCAGAGATGGAGCCCAAGGGCTCACAAAACCAAGCAAGTTTACTACCGATGACCTTTCGCCCTCCCCCAGCTCCTATTTTATAAAAGGTAAAAAATAAGGGGGAAAATTGCCCCCAAAGTCACAAACCTGCACAGTCAAGGTTTCCTTGCTACAAGTTTTCTTTTAGGAATACCTTGTACCTCCTTCCGGAAGAGAGACTTTGTTTGTTTGTTTGCTTGCTTGCTTCAGTGGAAGAAAAGGTTTATTTTGGCTCATGGTTTCAGAGGTGGGGAGGGCATGGTGGAGGAGAGCTGTTCCCATCTTGGCTGCACAAAGCAGAGGAAGTGAGGCATTGTTCTTGATGGAATATTTTCTAGGCATAACAATGAAATTATTAGGTGCTAATGTCAGTGAATAGGGCAGAGTCTTTGCACTTCTACAGCTAGCATTCTAGGAAGGGTGGGGAGACAGACAATATGCAAATAAGTGGCTGCAGAGGGCTATGTTGAACCTTCTGAAGTAGGTAATGATCCTCAGCTGTCACAGCGTCCTTCAGGAAAAGGCTGTCATAGTACTTCGCTTTTGCCAGCGAGTTCAATGTGGATACCCAGAGTTTTCCAGGCACTGCTGTTTACCTGCTGAATTTCTGCAGCTGCATTCGTCACACTTAGAAATGAACAGCTGTGGTAATCGTCTCTGTCTGGGCTCATTGCCCCCAAAAAGCCTTGCTGGGAAAATTAGCTCCCCCACCCCACCCCACCTTCCAATGAGAAGGACATGCTTGTCTGTATGTCCCCTATCTTTGCAGTGCTCAGACCTGCTTTTCCCTCCCTTGGCTTTCCAGTAGAGGGCAGTCCTTAGAGAAGACAGTTTTCTAGGGCTTCTGAAAAAAATTGCTGGAAGAGAATTACAATTGGCACAAATCAAGAGTGCTATATGCTAAGGGCCCTTTTCATACTTAACTCATTAGGCCTTACGATAACCCTCTGAAGAAAGTCTTATTATTGTCTTCATCTTACGGATGAGAAAACTGAGCATTTTCCAACAATAATTACTGATGCCAACTAAATGTCCTACATGTGAATTCAATTCTGACACTAATTACCCAGGATTAGTGCATATACAATATTGCCCCCGCTTCAGATGCCAGCCACAAGTGAGGTTCCTAGATTGTATGCACTTTTTGGCCATTACTTACCCCTTCAAGTTGAACTGAATGGCTGAGCTAGAATGACTGAACTTGGGGATATATACGCTTAAGATTCTAATTTTTAAATAAAAGATACAAATCAGAAACAACCAAATAGAAGAGATTCATAAGTCAAGATATGGGCTTGGCTTGGTCCAGAGACTCTATACCTTCTCTAAGGGTCGACACCCTCTTAGTGTAGCCTTCTTTTTCATCAACACCAAACTAGAAGTCATTGTTTCAGGGATGCTGTTACACACAGGGGTTAATCTCAGGTGTTATTCCTGAGCTATTCACCTTGGGCTTTCACTGGGAAGGAACTAGCCAGGATGGCTGCTCCAGCACTGGGATTACAAACATGTACTCATGGGTTCTAAGGACTGTCTGCACAGCAAGTACTTTGCTGACTGACCAAACCGGCTTGTTAGTCCCTGTTTAGGGTTTTCATATGGACCATGATAGGGATCAGTTAAACTATTGGCCATGTAACTGAGCTCAATCTATGAGCCACATCCCTCCAACATAAGAGCAATGCTTATTAGCTTCAAAGCATGCTGAACTTTTCTAGTAGGGCCAATCCTTATGTAGAACTATGTAAGGGTCCACCATGAGTTATCAATAACATTAATTCTGGTACAGTTAATGGGCTCCTGAGTAACATACAATACCATCAGAATGTTCTAAGGATTTTAGGAACACTGCTAGGAACCAAGGGCAAAAACCAAATATTTGTTTTATACTATACTGAGGCACAGAGAGTAAACTTGGCTATGATCACATATATGTGACAGAACCAAGATTCAAATTTTATTTATTTTTACTTTGTTGATCTTTGAGACAGGATCTCACTCTGGCTCTGGCAAACCTAGAATTCACTATGTAAACCAGCTGACCTCAAGCTCACCGAGATCCTTCTGCCTCAGCATCCAGAGTACTGGTTTTAAAGGCTTATGCAAAATCCAGAATTTCAAAGATTCACATAGGGCTTTACATAGTGACTTATAACTGAAATCCTACATTTGGAAGACTGAAGCAGAAGGATGTCCTTTGAGTTCAAAGCCAGAGTGGAGTACATAGTGAGTTCTGGTCATCCTGGCCTATAGAATTAGACCCTGTCTAAAAGAAACAAAAAATGAAAATATCTAGGGATGTCGCACATTTAATAAGGTACTTGCTTAGCATGTACAAAGCCCTGGGTTTAATTCCTAGCAACACACATGTCTGTAATCCCAGCATTGTCTAAATAAATAGAGTTCCTATAAAAGTATACTAAAAAGAAATACTCATAAAAATCTTAATAGGTTAGAGAGTAAGAGTATTAAAATATTTTAAAATGGATTATACATAAAACATCATAGGAAATTGATTATTTGATGCAACTCGAAATGTAAATACTACCTTATTTACACTAACTCTGGGTAATTAGTTGTTGGATGTTAGAGCTCAAACTTTTTTTTGTTTGTTTTTTGGGGTTTTTTGTTGTTGTTGGTTTTTTTGTTTTGTTTTGTTTTGGTATATGAGAAGCCTTCAGCATGAGACACATTCAGTGGGCTAATGACAGACTTGGGCTAGAATGACTTCTCCTCTTTTGGTTTTTGCCTATCTTTTTTCCTAGACATGAGATAGATGTTCCTTTTGTCCCTGCTCATGTAGATTAGATATAGGCTCAGATCACTGCTTTCTTTTTGTTTGTTTAGTTGGTTACGGTTTTGTGAGGCAAAGTCTTAAATAGTTCAGACTGGCCTCAAACTCACCATGTAGCTGAGTGCTGGGACTGCAGGAGTATGCCACCATACCCTGTTTATGGGATTCTGGAATTCAAACTCAGGGCTTGGTGCATGCTATGCAAACATTCTACCAGCTGAGCAACATCCCCAGTCCTTTTTGTATGTGTGTGACCACATTTCACTATGTAGCCCAGGCTGACCTCAGACGTGGATCTCCTGCTTCTGCCTTCAGAATGGAGCATCATAGGCACATGTTACCCTGGCTTGCTTCAAATGGCAGCTTTTTTGTTGTTTATAGTCTTGTCCTTTATTTACTTAGACTTTCTGATACTGGATAGCAATCCCCAGCCCTTCCCTACATTGGATCTCAGATTTTGGCTTGAAAGGGGAGGTTGCCTCTCAGATGAAAGGGCCAATAGGACTTTCTAGATGACTCTCTGATCGGACCTTGACTTCCAAGAGGGGAAAAAGGTGAAAATAGGGCATATTCTTTCTTTGACAACCTCTTTTCCCATTACCGGAAAATTTTCTCTATTATAGGGCTCTGTGGACTGCCCTACTCTGGAGTTTGAATATGGAGATGCAGACGGGCATGCAGCAGAGTTGTCAGGTATGAATAGATAGGTCAATAGTGAGTGGGAACGTGGTCGGGGAAGGGAACAGACCTGTAATCTCCCTGACAGCTTCTCTGGCCTTAGCAAAAGCTATTGAACAAGGGCTGTTATCGTCATACCCTTCCCCCAACCCAATAATAAAGATCTTTTACATTTCCTTCTGTGAGTTCCCCTTGATGGTAGCAGTCTCCATTTGTTCCATCAATTCTTTTTCTTTTGCTGGACTCTCAAATCAGTTCTCTCCACTCTATTATTTGCCTCTCGTCCTATAACCCATGTATCCGTGTGCCTGTTCTCTGCCACCCTTTCTTTATCCCATTCCATCTCTCTCCTTTGTCTACCTTCATCTTCCTTCATTTCCCGAACACCTGCCCTTCTTAAAATCCCAGCCACAGCTGAAGGAGATTATAGGTAACTGGCCGACTGAGTAAGGCTGGACATACCACCTGCATCAGTCACAGTCAAGCTCTGCTGCAGATATTGGTGAGATGGGGTTAAGTGATCCCATTCCTTTTTCAATTCCTGGCTGCTTCTCTCTGTCTGGAATTTTAGAACAGGGCAAACGTGATCTCCTCGCATTAAGGGCCTCCATGTTACACGTGCTGTGAATGCTAGTTATTAATAAATGAGCTTTGGGTGGGGATGGTGTGAAAGTTAAGACATTCTGTCACATGGAAATGACACTTTGAGACACGCTTTTTCAGATAAAAAGACAAACATTTTTGCAGAAGTTCTGGTGAATAAGCACAGGGAATAAATTTTGCAATGAGTGACAGAAATAGCTAGGTTTAATAATGAACAAAGGGTTAGAATCTAGAATGTGAATACGTGTAGAGAGAGATAAACAAAGAAATGACTAACCTGATAGAAAAGTAGACAAAGAATATGAACTCACAGAAAAGAAAATCAGAACATCAGTAAATGTATGAAGGGGCATGCATGAGGCTCTCTGTTGGATCCCCAGCACCGCAAAAGATTGAGTGTGTGTGTGTGTGTGTGTGTGTGTGTGTGTGTGTGTGTGTGTGTAACTGAAAATATGTTCAAATTTATTAGTTAATGAAGAAAAAAATTTAAAAACAGGATATTATTTCACAGTCATCAGACTGCAAAACTTAAAGGCTGGCAAGATGGCTCAACAGGTAAGGCTACTTGCCACTAATTCTCACGACTCCCTTTGAACCTCAGATCTACATGGTGGTGAGAGAAGAGAGCTGACTCCCATAGTTATCTTCCAGCTTCTATATGTGCAGTATGGAGCTCATATACCCATACACATAAAATTAATTAAATGTTAAAAAAAAAAAAACTTATCCGGGTGTTGGTGGTGCACGACTTTAATCCCAGCACTCGGGAGGCAGAGGCAGGTGGATCTCTGTGAGTTCGAGACCAAGCTGGTCTACAGAGTGAGTTCCAGGACAGCCTCCAAAGCCACAGAGAAACCCTGTTTCAAAAACAAAAAAAACAAAAAAAAAGGTAAAAAGTAAAAAGAAAAAAAAAAACCTTAAAGGACTAATGGGCATTTTTCTTCACTGCTTTGTGTAGCAGTATGAAGCTGCAGAGTATAAAATTGGAAAGCAATTAGGTCATAGCTAATAAAGTTGAAGATGTACACATATATGACCCAGTAATTTTATTCCTAGATGTATAATCTAAAGAACTTTATCCTTGGGCACAAAAAAGCATTTGTTTCATCCTTGTTATTAATTATGAAAAGTTGAGAGCAAGCTAAAATTCCCATCTGCAGGGCAATAGATAAACTAGCATATAAGCACAGTCCAGTCTCCCTGTAGCTATTAAACCATTGATCTGTATCAACATATTTCAGTATGAATAAATGCCCAAAACAAAGTTGAGGCAAAGAAACAACGGCAAAAAGAATTTGTGCAATTTATGATAATGTTAAGATTCAAAGTAGAAGAGTATCGAAGATACACTGTTTAAATTTAGACTCATTTTACTTGATGTTTATGAATGGTTTTCCCCGAGGGCATGTATGTGTACTACTTGTGTGCTCTGGATGTGGGTATATGGATAGTTGTGAGCCACCATATGAGTACTGGGAACTGAACCCGGTCCTCTGCAACAGATACAAGTTCTCTTAACCGCTGAGCCATCTCACCAGCCCTGGTACATTAGTAAAAATCTGAAAATGGGCATGTGAGGAATGCATGCCAAATTCATGGTAGCAGTCACGTCCCAAGAAAGGAGTAGGACTGGAGAGCAGTCTGAAGCAAACATGGCAAATGTTGTATTTGTTTAAGTTGAGTACAAGATACATGGTTATCTTAAATGTATTTTATAGTTATCTGTACATGAAATTTCATCATCTCACATTTTCAAAATAAGGACAAAGTTCAGCACTGTTTACCTTCCTGAGCTTTCCTGACTTTTCTGATCTAAATAAATACATACACATATACTCACATGTCCATTAATGAATTAATGATTGACATATTTAAGATTCAAAGTTGAGATTTGTTTCTGGCCCTTCTCTTCCCTAAAGATAGGATAGTTCTAGCCTGGGTTGACAGAACTGATTGGATTGTAGCCCTAAGAAACAGAAGTGATGACATTAAGCCCTCTGTACTCCAACCCTCCCCCTGGCCCTTACCAAATGTCGAAGGCTGTCTTCCTTCTCTGTTGCCAGCCATCTGGCAGGAGGACAGGTTTGATAGTTTAATCACCCAGGGACACACATGGCTATTTTTAACTGTTCTGAAAGGGAGGGAACTGGCTCTAGATTGAATTGGACACAAGAATGTGTTGGAACCTTCAGCTCCCTCAAGTGATCCTCTCTACTCTAGATTCTTCGTTGGGGGTTCTAAATGTGACTGTTTTGTCTTTCTGCTACAGAATTATATAGCTACACAGAGAACCTGGAATTTACCACTAACAGGCGGTGCTTTGAAGAAGATTTCAGGACTCAAGGTGACGCTACATCCCTATTCACAGAAACGTGCTATTTGCCTCCATGATATCCCTGTCTGGTCTAGTAAGAAGCTAAATCAAAGTTTGATTCTTCATCCCCCTTACAACCACTTACCCTTCATTTCTTGCATATGGAATACAGCCTTCCTTAAACAGAGAAGTTGAAACCAAGAGAAGTAGAGGGACAGCTCACAAGGCTGAACTAATACCCTACTAATCCTGTGCCTAACCTAACCCTTAATGTTTAGCTTCTGTCTCTCACTGCCCCGCCCCCTGCCAGTAGTAGTTTTAAGTACCCTTACTGTGATCCCTTCAGTTCTATTTCCCTACTTTCTCAGTGGCAATTTAATTTTCAATTCAATAAACGTGTGGTGAGTAGCTGTCGTGTCAGAGATGCAGGAGGCAGAGGTGAGGGTATTTTGCAGTTCTACAAATAAGTGCATAGTCACATAACGGCAGAGATGTGCGTAGCACACGAGTAGCCAAGGCCCAGAGGAAAATTCTAAATGTCACGGTGAAGTCAAAGCGTGTTTAAGGCAGAGCTGTTGCTTTGGGCATTAGTGTGGAAGGGACCTCTTGTATTGGGCCTGTAAGGATGAGTAAGAGCTGGATATGGATGGAGGAACTCTGTGAGCAAAGGCAGAGAACAGAATATACTGTGTGGCCAAACATGAAGATATAGGGACAGAGTAGGTTTATATTAGGACATGTTGGGTCCTTTTCCTATCCTTCATGTTTTCTTAGCTAAATGAGGAAAGCTTGGGCTTGGAGTATAGCTTAGTGGTAGAGCGTGCCTAGTGTGTTAAAGGCCCAGGGTTCAATCCTCAATGCCACGAAAAGCAAAACAAAACAAAACCAACATGTTTTAAAGAAGAAAAGGTTTTGGAGAAAAGAATCTTTTTGGAACTGAGATCAGAAGTGGCTACATTATCAGGGCCCTTTCCAGGAAGAAGGAGCAGAAACCGGCATTAGCTGTGTATGGCTTTATATCCCTAGTGCAAGACACTAAGGAATGGCTGGAGTTGGAAGAAGATGCCCAAAAAACTTATGTGATGGGACTTCTGGACCGACTGGAGGTGGTTAGTAGGGAACAACGGCTTAAGGTGGCCCGGGCTGTTCTGTATCTAGCCCAAGGTAAGTGTCCATTTTTGCTTATTGAATCGGGGTAGAAACTAGGGAGGGAAGTGGATAAAGCAGACCTTACTGGGAAAGCAGGGTGCCTTACATCTCAGTGACAGCACTTGTCATGCTAGGCGTGGACTTTTCCTTGTAAGGAGATCAAGAAATAGCATTGGATACTGCTCTGGATCTCTTGAGATCTGCCTCTATCTTACCAAGCACATCAGGTTCTTCTCTCCTTTTTTCTTTTAAAAACAGAATCATTTTTTCTTTATTAAATTTTTGAAATTAAAAAAAAATTTAAATCACTTTGTAGCGATGGCTAGTCTCGAACTCACAGAGATTCGACTGCCTCTGCCTCTGCCTCTGCCTCTGCCTCTGCCTCTGCCGCTCTGCCTCTGCCTCTCTGCCTCTGCCTCACAAATGCTAGGATTCAAGATGTGTGGTACCATGCCTGGCTCTCTTTTCTTTTCTTTCTTTTTCTCTGAGCATGAATGAATTCTTGTTCCTCTTGCCTCTAGCTCCTAAATTAGGATTACAGACACAAGCCATCATACCCTATGCATGTTGGAACTTCTTACATGGATTTCCCCCGCCTTGTAATCTGGGCTGTAAGTGTTAGGAAGATTGGCAAGAGAGTCCATGTAGGGAGAGCTGATGATGTACAACCAACAGAGTTATCACAGATATTGCTTTCATCAGATGTGCCCTGGCACCAGCACTGAGGTTTTTCATTGGCATTTTGAAGATTCAAGCCAACACAGCAGCAGGAGGGAATGCTGGGAGTAATTTGGAGATAACCAGAACTAAATGAGATAAACTGGCGAAAGCTTCCCAGAAGAAACCTGCTGGCCAGGTGTTGGAAGGGGCACTGAGATATTCTTGCCAGAGTAATAATAATAAGCTCTAAGGTCATACATGTGAGGATTGCCGGGAAACCAACAGATTGGGAACTGAAAAGTTGTAAAAGAAGGAGAAGGAGAAGGAGAAAAGAAGAAGAAGAAGAAGAAGAAGAAGAAGAAGAAGAAGAAGAAGAAGAAGAAGAAGAAGAAGAAGAAGAAGAAGAGGGAAGATTGCAGTAAATAAGGTGGTTCTTCTGAATCACTTAGGTCTGTGCTCTAACCAACTTCCAGCTGCCAACACAAAGATCATTTTGCTTAAGGCTCCGTCTGCAGCCCACACTGGGCAGTCAGGAAGTGGGGAGAATTGATACACTCAGTTCTCAAAAGTGACTTTGAAGATTGAGAAGAAAAAAAAGATTGAGAAAATAATTTTGCTTATCTTACTCTGGGGTGAGCTAACTCTGAGTTGTGTGTTTTGTACTATTTCCAGAAAGTCCCCTGTGATTAAACTCTTTGAGCTGCCTCACTTCCCCTATTTCTCTTCTGGAGATTCCTGAAGATCCCTTCCCCAGTAGACAATTTGCATTTGAACCCTTATCTCAGGATCCACTGCTGGGGTGGGGGTAGGGGCTTAAGATGGACTTTTCTCCATTGACTCACTCATTTAAGGAAGTTCTTATGGGCCCTGTTTAGTCCGTGAAGTATGGGGAAAATTCCAAGAGCATGTGGCAGGGTGGAAAGAACTGGGGTAGCTGCCCCCTCCCAACTCCTACTCAACTCTCTGATCCTCTAGGCACTTTTGGGGAATGTGATTCAGAGGTGGATGTGCTTCACTGGTCCAGATACAACTGCTTCCTGCTCTATCAGATGGGGACCTTCTCGGCCTTCCTGGAGCTACTCCACATGGAAATCGAGTGAGAAGCCCTAGTGGAGGGCTGGCTTAGAAACGGTCTTAACAAAAGGGTTCACATGTCTGTGGATTTCCTCAGCACATTTCCCGACAGGTGTTGAGTCACCTCACATCTCCACTCAAAGCTCACCGGCAGTTTTCCCCTACCCCCTTTCTTTCCAGATTCTATGTTCTTCTACAATCCTGGGCTTCACAGGTTACCCTTTTAATCTAAGTACCTTCTCAGCTGAACCTAACTCTGGAATTCATATAGAAAACTTTTTCCATCGCAAACACAACACAAGAGGAACAGACGAGTTTCTGTCAATGTGCCTAATTATTTCCCTCAAGAGTTGTAACCGTAGAAGTGGCCCGTCTGCTGCTGCTACTACTACACTGGACCCTCTTTCTCTTACACCTGCCATCCAGGAGTTTCAGATACACTGAATTCTTTTGATTATTTATCAGGTCTTGCTTAGTATCTGTTTTGTGTCCAGAACAGTGGTAAGCATTGTGGGTGAAAGACCCCCGGAGACCCAGGCCCTCGGGATCTCAGCCCAGGACCATGGCCACCCCAATCACCATGCGGAGGCGAAAGCTTGATACAAACAGCACGAGGCTTTATTATAGTTGTTTAACGAGCTAACCCCATGTTAGTTCAGGTCTTTCATCCATCCACCATAGCGGATGGCTAGGAAAGACGCTTGGAAGCTACTGCATAGAGATCTTGTAGGGCAGCATAAGGGGAGTGTCTAGGGGTATGCACAGGCTCAGGATTGGCTTGGAGGGTTTGCCCTGTGTTGATTGGTCCCTTCATGGGGAATCACAAGAGAAATTGATACCATAGACCTTATCTTTTGCCTGTCTTCACCATAGATGAGGGTTTACTGAGGTAGCAAGGGAATTCTATGGGTTCCTGTACCTTAGATCAGTTTCACTGTGGATGTATAAGCAGGGAATGGCCGGTGTTTGGTAAAGAGTGAGTGAGAGCAGAGAGGAAAGAGGCCTTATGGGTCCCTGTTCTTTCATTCCTCTCCATGGCAGCAACAGCCAGGCCTCCAGCAGTGCCCTTCGGAAGCCAGCCGTCTCCATTGCTGACAGCACTGAGCTCAGGTGAGTGAGGGAGACCTTGGGCTTTGGACAGAGGGGTGATTAGCCTGGGTTACCCTTTTCCAAATCCCAGATGAGTCAGAAGTTCCCTTTTAACTACTCTTATCTGATTGGACTCCCACTGACATCATCCTTCAAGTCTCTAACTATAGTCTGGGAACTACCTTGGGAATCTCTTAGGATCCTTTTGTAACTTCTAGGGTGCTGCTGAGTGTCATGTACCTAATGGTGGAAAATATCCGCCTGGAGCGAGAAATAGACTCCTGTGGGTGGAGGACAGCCCGAGAGACCTTCCGAACTGAGCTCAGTAAGAACTGGCACTCGAGGAGGGGTGGGTATGGAGAATTGAGGGTGGTTGGGAGGCAGAGTTCCTGCCCGGCGGAGGAAAGCAGTGCTAACTTGTTATCTTTTTCTTTTTAAAATTAGCATCTTTTCTTTTTTAAGACAGACATGTTTCATGGGACATGAGGGCTGGGTTTTATTGCACCCCGAGTGTCTTAGTTCCCCTAGTTAGAAATGAGGATAACCATTCCTCTCTGGTTTCATCATGAATCCCATGTTGGGGGGAAAATGAGCTGAACTGCCTTAAAAATGGAACCTTTTTTCTAATGTAAGTTGAAGTAGTCATCTGAGAGAGATAGGATATGAAAGCATTTAAAAAATATATTTATTAATGTAAATAAGTAAAGAATAAAGTGTGGTCCACAAGATACCTTGATTCCTTCAGCTAGAAAGTCACATGAGAACTTCCTTAAAGTCCTTAAAAGTAATCATTACTGTTACTTCCTATTTGGTATGACCCTCAAAGCATTACCTTAATGACCTCTAGGGTGGGGCATACTATTTTACCACAATATCCTCCTCAGTCCTGTGCTTTAAGGGAATTGCCTCTGGGGGCTCATTATGCCTCCTCTCAATACAAAGTGCTCTGGGAGTTTTCAGGGAGGTTGAGTGCCTTCCTCAGTGTGCCCAGACTCTGGGATTTTTACTACGTCATCTCTGATTCTCTTTATACCTCAGGCTTTTCCACCCATAATGAAGAGCCTTTTGCCCTCCTGCTCTTTTCCATGGTTACCAAATTCTGCAGTGGCCTGGCGCCTCACTTTCCAATAAAGAAGGTTCTGCTTCTGCTCTGGAAGGTGGTTATGGTGAGTGATCTCCATTCCCGTCTCACTGATCAGAGCTAGACAGCAGAACTGGCTATCTGTTAGCCCCAGCTAACTGAGAGGAGCAAAAGGCCCACCTAGAATCATCAAATATTCTGTATCATTGGGTTTCTGTTTCTATTGGATGAATCCATTGGATGTCACTCTATGAGTTGAAGATGTCAATGGCACCTTTTTCCTAAAAGAACTGATGTTTCTTAGAAAGAACCCTAGCTGATCATTGGGAATCTGACTCTGTCCATACCAATGAACCTTGGACAATTCTGTACCTGTTTCTATAGCTATGAAATGTTAAGATTAATGCATGCCTTTTCTTCCAGTAGAGGATGGGTGTCCTTTCAAGTATATAGTTAATAATTTGTTATTTATTATTTAATCCGATCCTTCATCCCATCGTCTCCCTCTGGCTCCCATCCCATAGGGCTGGAGGAACAACACACCCTCTTAGTGGGCCTCATAGGGTAAACCACCTCTTGATTACAGAGGAAGCTATGTGACTCTAGGACGTTGTAATATCTGAATATGCTCCTTAAAATTGATTGCGCCCAGGATAGTGGAACATGGTTGTAAAACTAGCACTCGTCAGACAGGCATAAAGACTGAAGGTTTAAGGCCAGCTTGAGCTACACATTGAGACCCTGCTCAAGAAACAAAACAAAGGGAGGATTGCCTCCTAATTTTTAAATTTTTTCCAGTGGAGCCCACCCTCCTCTAATATTTACTGCTATTTCCAACCCTGGGTCAATAAATAATGCTGTGTTTTATTCTGACACTAGAGATCCTCAGACTGAAGTGGTAACAATGTTTGTTTCTTCTTGTTTTTCTGCTTCCTTGTACAAAAGGCAGTGTGAGGAAATTGGAAGATGTGGTTCTTTCCTTCTGTCCATGTTTCTCTGCCTTTGTTCTCTATGACTGCCCTCTCTCACCCCTCTCTTCTCTTCCTCCTTTTTCTGCATAACAATTTTTTTAATTACAATATAATTACACCATTTTCCCCTTTCCCTTTCCTCTCTTTAACATCTTCCATGTACCCACCCCTTGCTCCTTGCTCTCTCTGAAATTCATAGCCTCTTTTTCTTTAGTTATTGTCACATGTTCATATATATATATATATATATATATATATATATATATATATATATATATAACTGCAACATGCTCAGGGCTGACTGGTGGGTACTGGATAACCTCCCTTTTTCTTTTTAACTCTTTAGTTTACCCTTGGTGGATTTGAGCATCTGCAGGCTCTCAAAATACAGAAGCGCGCAGAGTTGGGCCTGCCTCCACTGGCTGAGGACAGTATCCAGGTCGTAAAGAGTATGCGTGCTGCCTCCCCACCTTCTTACACTCTCGATCTGGGGGAGTCTCAGCTGGCCCCTCCACCCTCCAAGCTGCGGGGCCGCCGTGGTTCTCGAAGGGTATGGATCAAGCATATGGTAGTGTTGGGGTATTGACTGGTCAAAAATCAGGGTTCTCAGATGCTACGGATGTGGCAGGAAAGGGCAGTAAATGGCCATCCCAGGTTGGCCCTGTAGCCAGCATGAATCCTTAGAATCTACACTTTGGCACCTGACCATGGATTATTGTCTGGACCTCAGTGACTAGAGTTGCTTAGCCTCCTAAATAGGGGTTATGTTAGAATTCTGAGAGTAGGTACCCTGAAAAGAGCACCTAGCAAATCTACATGCCTATCATGAATCACTTACCATTTTCTTGGCAGCAAGAAATTTTATTTTGAGCCACCATACTCCATCTGGCCTTGGACCACGAGCTTACATTTGTGAGGTGGCTAGATAGGGTTCTAGGCAGTGTATATTATTGAGACGTTCTAAATAATTGAGCCTTGACCACATTTTTCATGAACTCACCTGCCTGACCTACCCAAGTTTACCAATTAAAGGTGACAGGGTCACACAATCCAGTCTAAATTATAAGCAGAATGACTTTATTAAAAAAAAAAAAAAAAAACCTTTCTCTTTTGTTTCATAAAGTAATGCTTACTCATTGTAGAAAATTTGGAACAGATGTAAAAATGTGATGAAGAGAGAAAAATCACCCACAAGCTTAACAACCAGAGGCAGTGACTATTAACTTTTTGGCCTATTTCTGTCCAGTCTTTTTTTCCCCTTTATGCAATGAGATTTAACATTCTAAACTCACATTCCTCTGCCTGGCAGCAAGCTTCTGTCATCTTCTTCCTCAGTCAGCCAGCTGGTGTATGCTGACAGAAAGCAAACTAATTGTATGTTCACCTAAGCAGAGCATAATTAGGAAGGAAAATGCTTGGGAGGGCAGGGAACGTGGCGCATCCATCAGTGCCTCTGGAACCTAACTAGCTCCCACACTGGTGCTATCTGTGCTCTGTTTCCTGGCCATGGTCATTTTTCCTGGGAGCTGCTTGTCCAGTGACTGAGTCCAGTGAGTTGTAAGATTGAGATGGATGATGGAATGTTCTCATAGTAGATGGGTTTCAACCTTATGGTTCCTGAAGTCTAGAGAGAGTGACTTCAGACAAGGGTGCCACAAGCTCTATAATTTCCTCTCTCTCACCACTGCCAGCAACTCCTCACCAAGCAAGACAGCCTGGACATCTACAATGAAAGGGATCTCTTCAAGACTGAGGAGCCAGCCACAGAGGAAGAAGAAGAGTCTGCAGCTGATGGAGAACGAGCCTTGGATGGAGAGTTAGACCTACTAGAGCAGGATCCTCTGGTGCCACCTCCACCCTCACAGACACCTCTCTCTACTGACCGAGTAGCCTTTCCCAAGGGCCTTCCCTGGGCACCAAAGGTCAGGTAGGTTTAATGGCACTAGTGATCCTGAGCATTGAGATTCCAATCGCTGAAGAGCCAGGTGGACTAGCATACATGTTGAGTGTTCATTAACCTGGTGTGGTAATTACAACACCTGGTTTTGAAGTTCTTTCTGTCTTCTTCTACTGCTCTAGTCCTTCCAAAACGAAGAATCAGGAGCTCTGAAAATTCCTCTTTCTCAAGGTTGTTTTGTTTTGTTTTCTTCCTCTCCCTGGTATTGGTTTCTTCACCATCATCATCTCAGACAGAAGGACATTGAGCACTTCTTGGAGATGAGCAGAAATAAGTTCATTGGATTCACCCTGGGGCAGTAAGTGACTAGATATTCAAAAGTGAATATAAAGTATATCTTAGAAGGCCATGAATTTTCCTCACTAGCCTTTATAAAGCTAGAAGGGATTTCATTGTCAAAGGTATCATTAGGCTACATATTCCTTTAAGTGGGAATCTGTCACCTGCAGGCCAAGTGAATAACTAAAAGACTATATGATATAAATCTAACTTTCAGAAATACTTCTGTGTGTCATTGTTATTTTTGTGACATTAAGATGATGGACCTGAAGTCTTATATAAGAAGGTATAAGGCTAGGCAGTGGTGGTGCACACCTTTAGTCCCAGCATTTGGAAGGCAGAGGCAGTTGGATCTCTGTGAGTTTGAGGCCAGCCTGGTCTACAGAGTGAGTTCCAAGACAGGCTCCAAAGCTACGGAGAAACCCTATCTCAAAAAAAAAAAAAAAAAAAAAAAAAAAAAAAGAAGAAGGTATAGGAAACAGGGGTAGATGCTTGAAGTGTGTGGACCCTATGATTCCAGAGTGTATGGGTAGTTTTCTCTTCTGTTAAGAATATCATGGTTTGGTGTTTTGGGCCTCTTACAGGGACACAGATACCTTGGTTGGATTACCTCGACCCATCCATGAGAGTGTGAAGACGCTAAAGCAGGTGACCAGGGTGGGCTTTCATTCCTCAGGGATAGGGAGCCATCAATTAAGTCAAATTACCACTACCTTGCATACTGAGTAGAGGTCTTCTTCAGATACATCCAGGACCTTCTGCATGCCCCCATTTAGGCCTTTTGGCCAAATAGGAAAAGTCAGGTCTCTCTCTACTTACCCAGTTTCCTACATTCAAGTCAGTGAGAAAACAATTCCTTTCTCTTGTTCCTTTTCCCTCCTTCTATCCTTCTCTCTCCTTTCCCATTCTGTTTCCTTTTCTTTTATTTCTCTCCCCATAGGTCCACTAGCTTCTATAGGCCAAAGATTATGTAGGAATCATCTTTATATCCAGTTATGTTAAACACAAAGAATGTGGAGTCATCACTCCATACATGTATGCAAGTACATCAAACCTGTCTGGGTAAAGGTCTATTCTTGCCTTTCCCCTGCACTTTAAAAGTAAATGACTAGGTATTTGCTAGTATCCAACAAATATGGGAATGTAATACACAGAAACATTGTTTACAAAGTACTGCTCAGTACTAACTATGCAGATGAGAATAAAATTCTTACTTCTAAAGGTTTTGTGTCTGTATGGGATGATAAACCCATGGAACGTTTCCTTATGAACAAAGAAAGTTGTTGTGAATTAGGTTCTCAACCCTTGTTGATGTTTTCTTATCTTTGCCAGCACAAGTATATCTCCATTGCAGATATACAGATCAAGAATGAAGAGGACCTGGAGAAATGCCCCATGTCTTTGGTAAGTCAAGGGCTCCAGCACAGAGCGGGTAAGAATGAACTCTGTCTGTAGTGCTGTCGAAGAGCGTACATTGTATGTGCACTGACTCAGCTTGTTAGGCTCTTATTGTGTGTCATATAAGACAAAGGCTGCACATTACACTAAAGTTGGGGAAAACAGTTAGTTAAACAACTAAACAAGACCACAGAATGGTAGGTCCCGTGAAGATAATTTAAATAGGATGACATCATGAAATTATCTGTCGACTATTTGGGGTTGGGTAGTTGGGATAGATGAGCTAAGAAGGTGACATTTAACCAAGATCTGAAGTACGGAAAGGAGCCAGCCATAGGAACATCTGAGAAGAAAACATTGCAGGTAGAGTCAGGGTAGAAGAGGTAGTCATAGAGAACAAGAGCAGCAAAAGAAGGCTGTTAGAACAACCCATGGGTAAGAGGTGAAGTTGTGGAGGTGACTTCAGACAAGTGTCCTGAGGGCACATTGTGTAGGACCTGTTAGCAGAGGTAGGGAACTTGAAGCTGACCCACAGCACAAAGGGAAACCTTCGGAGATTTTAAGCAGAGGAAAGATTTTGATCTTTGGTTTTAAAAAACACTATTTACTAAGCAAAGATTGGACCAAAGAAAGAGGGGAGGCATTAGCTCATCTCAAAACAGGTAAACTGGAAATTGAAAGTATGACTAGAGTCATAAAGTAGGTGAATTGGGGTTATATTTTGAAAGTATTGCTGACAGGACTTGCAGTTCAATTTGATGCTTATCAAGAGGCAAAGAGAAGAATCAAGAATAAGCGTCACCTGGAAAATAGGAGGAATACAAAAAATCATGTTTGGTCATACTAAAGTTTAGGTGTCTATTAAATACTTGGGAAGAGCTGTTGGGAAGTTAGATATATAGGTCTGGAGTTCTAGGCTTGGAGAAATTTGAGTCATTGATTTGTTACAATGTTAAGGACTGTAGAAAAGGCTAAGAGAACCCAAGGGAGCAGGCAGAGGCAGAAGGGGATGGAGCCCAGGAAAGTCCCTGGGACATACCAATGGATTGAGGGTGGGATGAATCAGGAAAGAAACCACAGAAAAGTAAGAAAAACACTCAACGAAGTGGAAAAAAATCTAGAAGTATGATACCATAAAAACAGTCTTTAAATAAGGGGAGCGATCAGCTGGGCCAAATGCTGCTGATAGGTGGCATATGATAAGAACAGAAGTGCCTATTGGATCGGGCAGCATTAAGATAATTGGTGCCTTGGTTAAGAATGATCACAATGAAACAGCTAAAAGTCTGTTATGAGTACATTGAAAAGGAATGTGAAGAAAAGAAGTAGACAGCCACCAAGTGTTGTAAAGAAGGGGAGAAAAAATGGGATGTAGCTACAGGAAAATGTGGAATAAAGAGAGATCATCATGCCAAAACATAAAAATTTAAGGTGTTTGTGTAATCCCAGTACTTGAGTGGCAGAGGCAAAAGGGTCATGAGCTCACGCTCATCCTCAGCCACTTATTTAGTTGGAGACCAGCCTGGGCCACTTGAGATCCCGTTTGAAAAAAAAAAAAAAAAGAAAAGAAAGAAAAAAGTGATCTAACAGAGCAACTAACTCAAGATCTAATAGATTGTACCAAGAGAAAGGAAAGAGTATGTGGGCTGGAGAGATGGCTCAGAGTACTTTCTGTTATTCCAGTGAACCGGAGATCAGTTTCTAGTGCCCACATGGCAGGTTACATCCACCTGTAACTCTAGCTCCATGGGAATCTATGGTGGTTTGAAAGAAAATGGCCCCCCAAAAGGAGAGGCACTATTAGGAGGTGTTACCTTGTTGAAGTAGGTGTGACCTTGGAGGAAGTGTGTCACTGTGGGAGTGGGCTTTGAGGTCTCTTTTGCTCAAGCTTTGCTCAATGTGATACTCAGTCTACTCCCTGTTGCCTTCTGATCAACATGTAGCCAGAACCATTCTGCCTGCATGCTACCATGCTCCCCACCATGGTGACAATGGACTAAACCTCTGAACTATAAGCTTTCACATCAGCTAAATGTTTTCCAGATCTGGTATTCCAAAGATGTAGTATGTCTATCTGACAACTCTCTCTTGGTGTGAAGCAGAGCCAGCAACTTAAGGGTGTTTGTTGAAAAGAGAGAAGGTAGTAAGCCTTGTGGGGAGCAGGAAGGTACACATGCTAAGATCACCAGGCTCTCTTGAATGCCTATCAAGACTTGTATCCATTGGCCCAATTATTCCCCTTTGCCTCCAAGTCTTATGGCAGACTATTACCCTGAAATAGGGGTTCTCACGGGAAGAAAGACTGCATTAGTCAAAGATTTCAGTGAGGCCTGGGCTGCCTCTTGAGCATCTGAGACCCGTGCCTCCCTCATTCTGATAAAGGGATTCATTAAGGTCATGAAGAAGATTCGATACACATGGTGCTCTTAGAAAAAAAAGAAATGTTGATGAGGATACTGGAGAGAGGGGAAAATTAGTTTACAACCCTTTAAAAGCTTCCTTGCAGCAGGGCGTTGGTGATGCACAGCTTTAATCCCAGTACTGGTGGGGGGCGGGAAGGCAGGAGGATCTCTGAGAGTTCAAGGCTAGCCTGGTCTACGAAGTGAGTTCCTAGATGGCAGAAAAACTCTGAAGTGCTTGGTTGATCTCTTGATTAACTCCATGGAAGTGCCTCTGAGTGTGGTATCTTAACATGTCAGGTATATTTACAGCCTCGGTTAACCCCATGTGTATCTAGAGAGATTTTGTGTATGTGTACCAAAGCAGTGGTCTAAGCTAATTCTTAGGTTGGAGTGCTGACTCCTGAATGACCATGTGACATGGAAAGAGTGATTAGTTGCAGATAACAGGAAAACTAGACTCAGCAATTGTTGTGGAAAAAAGACATCAAAGACCATCTAAGCAAGCTCAAACCAAAAGACTAGAGCCTAAAGAGGAATGGTCATTCATCCAAAACCATATAACGAATCATTACCACGGTTAGGATAGCATGCTACGGTGACTCCCAGTGCAGTTCTCTGTTTGAGCTACCCTCACCAACCAACAGCATGTAACCTTTAGCAACCTGGCAAGTAGCCTGGGTAAACTGTGCTTTTTGCCATAGGGAGAAGAGGTGGTACCAGAAACACCATGTGAAATCCTCTACCAGGGCATGCTGTACAGCCTTCCGCAGTACATGGTAAGGCACAGGCTGGGCCAGAGCTGCCCTCTTCCACTAAGAGGGATAAAGAATTCTCAGCTTCCCTTGTGGCTCCTCTGAAGGTGCCATTCTCCCTAGCCTTTCTAACAGGGTCAGGGCTGCAGAATGAAGTAGGGTCCAGATATGATGTATCAGGGCCTTTCCCCTAGCTAATTACCCCTATCATGCGTTCTGCCATTGTCTGCCATGTCTTTGGTAGCCTCTGGATAGGAATGGTGATGATGCTGATAGGGTTAGAGGAAGAAAAGGAAGGGAGGATGACCGGTTTCTCTCTCCCACTTATTTCTCTGCATTGCCCTTCCCACTTGGTTCCTTCTACGCTCCCTTTAGAAGAAGCAGCACTGAAGCAAAACAGCCTATAAGCTTGCTTTGGCCTCACAGACAAGCCTCAGGATAAATTCTTGTTTGCATTCCTATATGCTGGCAAGGCTTAGTTACTGAAGGGAAATCTTAAAGGCTTTGGAATACTTTTCACTGGGTTAGAGGTTTGAGAGAACCTCTATCTTGCTGAGTGGGATAGACAAAGGTGGGTTTCTTCTTTTTCCATCTCCCAGATTGCTCTGCTTAAGATTCTACTGGCTGCAGCCCCCACCTCCAAGGCTAAGACAGACTCTATCAATATCCTAGCAGACGTCCTGCCTGAAGAGATGCCGTGAGTGCTCCCACGGGGGCAGCTGCTCAACACTAGTGTCTTGTCTTCAGGGCCTCTCTGTCCCACCGCACTTTGTTGACACTTACAGGAATTGTCTTCAAAGTAATCTCTCCTTTTCTGTGGGTACCTCCCACCCCCTGCAGGGCCTTCTATTGAACTCTGTGTAACTCAGAACTAGGTAACAGGTAACCTCAGTGCTGGTGACTAGCTGCCACATATATGGGTAGGCAGCACCAAGGCAAGCTTGCCAGAGAGAGGACATGTCAACAAAGAAATCATGGAAGCTTTTTCTTGGACAGATTTCTAAATGGGAACTCCAGAGGTTTTCCTAGCACAGAAGTTCAAGCTTCCTAAGTTGTGACCCTCATATGTATGTATCGTGTCTAGCTCAAATACCTGGGTCTTTCCTTGTAGGCCTCCCTCGCTCATCACCTTTATACCAATGCTTCCTCTCTTGCTTGCAGCATAACTGTTCTCCAGAGCATGAAGCTGGGCATTGATGTGAACAGACACAAGGAGATCATCGTAAAAAGTATCTCTGCCCTGCTCCTTCTACTTCTCAAACACTTCAAACTCAACCATATCTACCAGGTGAGCAGGTAGAATAGAAGAGCTGTGTCACAAGCTTAAGTATTCCCCGTGCCCTAGAGAGGCGACACAAGAACCCTTGTACTGCTGAGCACTATTTGGCCTTCCCCTTGTCCCCTATTAGGGAGTCCAGCTATTTGTTGCATGAGGACATGGTGAGGACATGGAGTGGGGTGTGGGAGCCATCCTAGAAAGATGCAGAGATCTATGCTCTTTGTGAGTTATCTCAAGGTCTTTGTAAGTTAGCTAGGGGTCCTTACGAATACTCCTAGTTAGACAGAATCAATTCAACCACCCGAGACATGTCACTGGGCCTATTGGCCATGCTTTTCCGTATGTGAAGCACTTTCCTGACATTTGAGATATAATTCTAAATGAGGCACAGTTCAGGCTCTTATGGGCCTTTCAGTCTTGTAACAGATACATAAATGTCCAGTTGTAGAGTGGTGTGGCAAAGGTAGGCACTGGATACTGTAGAAATACCAATTCCAGAGAAGAGGTGACTTTTAATCTGAGTCCTAGAGTGGGGAAAATGTTATCCAGGAAATGGAGTTATCAGGGAAGAATAAGAACCACTTCAAGCAGAAAGGCTAATATGTGAAAACCCGGAGGAGAAAGAACAGTGTATTTTTGGAAACTAATTAAATGTTGCCAGAGTTGTGCCCTGGAGTGGGGATAGATGTTCTGGTAATACATGGAGCACAGTGGTTGGCAGGTGTCATATATCTGAGAGCACACAATTATGGAATACCTCTGATGTGCTTGACATCCTACCAAGTTTCTGTGAGCTTCTCACCCCAGGAGGCCTCATTTTATTCCTGGTTTTTTGGGTTGTTTTTTTTTTTTTTTTTTTTGAGGGGGACCTGGGGTCTTTTTGTTTGTTTTCTGTTTTCTTGCTCATTTTTAGTTTTGTTGTTGTTGTTTTGAGACGGAGTCTCATTATGTAGACCAGGCTTGAACTCAGAGAGCTGCCTGTCTCTGTCTCCTGAATGCTCCAGCCTATCCCTATTTTGTAGGTGAAGAGACTAGAGTTAAAAGTCAAGACCTTGCTTTGCTTTCCAGCAGGACATTGTTTTCCTTGGGCCTGTGGACATTACCGAGATACAGGGACAAGATGAGGACAAGTAAATAGATGCTTCTTCTTTAGGGAAAGCTTGGGAATTGGAAGCCTTCTCGTTTCTTCCCTGAGACTTTACCCCATTTTCCACCTAAGCACTCAAAATAAAGCCTGATGTAAGAGTCAGTCATCAGGCCAGGCGTTGGAGGCACACACCTTTAATCCCAGCACTTGGGAGGCAGAGGCAGGCAGATCTCTGTGAGTTCGAGGCCAGCCTGGTCTCCAGAGCCAGTGCCAGGATAGGCTCCAAAGCTACACAGAGAAACCCTGTCTCAAAAAACCAAAAAAAATAAAAAAGAGTCAGTCATCAGTGTACAGGGAAGAGCCCTGAAAGGTCATGTGTTTGCTGGCAGTGTTTGCTGAGCAGCATCGGGATTGAAAAAAAGCAGAGTGGTTAGGAGACACTACTCCCTCTTTCCACTGGAATGTGTGTTTCTCAATGCTTCTCTTGGTGGGCAGTACATACATCTGAGGGATGTCCTGATGGGCCGTTGCCCCAGTGTATGTCAGTGTGGGTGAGCCCTGAAAGAGACTGGGCATGGCTCAAATTTTAAAACGTCCCATCTTTTGTTATTAGTAGGTATGCACTGGTTCCTTTGTCTGGGGCTTCAGAAAATGCCTTTGGTTGGCTTCCAGGGAGAAAATATTGAATAGAAGAGAGAAGTGGTTAAGGGACAAACTGACTCCCCATCTCCAACCACATATTCAGGACCAGAAAGCAGCTTGCCTTTCTGACATGAATACCTCTTGCTGATGACACAGAGATAGAGGTTTAAAACCCATAGTTCTCTGCCTTTTCAGCCTTGTTTCTGTACTATCCCAGCATTCTAAGTTCCTAATTTAGGGGCAATTTTTTTTCTTGGTGCTTCTCAGTGCATAATAAACAAAATCCAGGGTGACTAACTATTCTAAGTATTAGAGATAACCTCATATTCTGGACAGTCTACTGAAACCTACATTCCAGTGGTTACTGTGGGCTGTCTCCAGCCTGATGCCAGCAGTTGCTAAGAGTTAGTTGCACCTGTCTCTTTTATATCAATTCCAGTTGAAACATTATGAGCCAGAGGTTTGGTATGGAAACCAGCTCCCTCGGGGAGACTTTGTTTCCCCTTGAGCTTAGGAGCAAAACTCCCAGCAATTCTTGCTATTTATTTGAGCTATGTTTTCTTTCTAGTGTGTTTAATATGTGGTTTTGGTCAAGAACTTGTAGCATCCACTGCAGATCGGCCTGCATGTAAGACAAGCTGCCTGAAGATGAGTGTCCCCATTTCAGAGACTAACAGACTGATAACACAGTAGACAGCAGATATTCTTGGGAATAAATGTTATATTTGCATTTCCCTGTCTTTCTTCATGCATGTTTTATATCTTCCCCCAAATAAGTAAACTTTTCTGCTTTGATCTTTTAATTCAGTTTGAATATGTGTCACAACATTTAGTATTTGCCAACTGTATCCCCTTGATCCTGAAGTTCTTCAATCAAAATATCCTGTCCTATATCACTGCCAAAAACAGGTACAGATTCTGAACAGACTTCAGGGTCTACTTGGGATGCTTAAGAAAGTTCCTCCATGTCTGCACCTTCCATTTTCTCTGGTGTCCTTAGTTCCTCCTTTCTTAGAGATTTCCCTGTTGGGTTCAATTTTCTTGAAGTCTTCACTGATGGGAATGTGTGAATTTTCCTCTTTGAATAGATTTTATATATTAAAAATAATTTCAAAGCTGAAGAATATTTTGAAATGAAGCTACAAGATGAAATTTCTGTGATGAAAGAACCTAGGAGGCCTTTGTGTTGTGCAGCAGCCCTTTTGTCTGCAGCTCTGCTCTTTTGAACTCATAAGCTGCTGTGACTGGAACAGTTACACTGCTTTGTAAGCAAAAAGAATTATAGAAAATTCATAATGATGAGAGTGCTGAACCCTAACCACCAGACCCCCAGGGGAGGTTCAAAAATCTGTGGTCAAAGGTAAACAACAGACATCTACTTGGGTAGATCAATTTGTAATTTAAAATATATTTTTAAACTTGTTACTTTTTAAATGTTTATGTTCATGCATGGGTATGGGTGCACACATGGCAAGGCATGGGTGTGGAGGTCAGAAGACAACTTGCAGGAAGAGGTTCTCTTCTTCACCCCAACTGTCCCAGGGAAAAAACTCAGGTTGTTGGTATTGCCATTAGGAGCTGAGCTATCTTGCCAGCCCAAAGTATGGTAATTTTACATTCATAATTCCACTTAATCTTGGCAATGCTAAGAGATAGTACAAGTTTTATTCTCATCTTGCCAGTTAGGAGACAAAGTCTGAGAGGTGAATTGGTTTTCTCAAGAATAACAAGATTATGAACCTTCAAAGATAGATCAATCAATAAAGGGCCACACAAGCATGAAGACTTGAGTTCTGATCCCTGTAGCCCATATAAAAGGTGGAGACCGATAGATCCATGAAGCTCACTGGCCAATCAGCACAGACAAACATTGAGTTTCATGTTAATTGAAAGACCCCATCTCAAAAAGTAAGTAGAGAGTAATTGAGGAAGATACCTGACATGAACCTCTGGCCTCCACATGCATGCATCCATACATGCATGTCCATCTGCACACCGACATACGATACACCACACATACAAGATTAACATGATCAACCTTTTAGGTAAGAACACAGGCTTTTCGTGAATACAAATTGCTTTCTATTCCTCCAGCCAATCTGAGACTGGGGGATTGTAAGGCAGATCCTTATTCTTTAATTTGCTTCTACAAGAACTGGTATAGTGTTATTCAGTAGAGTTTTCCAGAATTCCTTACCAGAGTCCCTAAACAGACAAAGACTGATGTCTTACTTGGGGTGGCTAGAGAGGGAACTGGGTAGGGGGAGTCTCATGAGTCAATCAGTACTGCTTGAAATGCTACCATGGAGTGACAACGTTGCATGTACACTGCCTTTGAAAAGCCTGAAGTCAAGAGACCTGAACGTGTGAGTTCCTAACCAGGTAATTTCAAGGGAGTTATTTCTCTGGGCCACAGCACTTGCCCTTTTAAAATAAAGTAGACTACCTCTTTGGACTATATCACAAAGCTAAAAGTTAGTTCACTGAGCACTGAGAACAAACTCCATTCGAGTCTCTGCCCCATTTCCTAGTTGCAGCACCTGTCTTGCTAGGGTTCTGTGTAAGTGGGAGATGGGTAGATAAGTGGATGAATGAGCCAAGAATATCTATCCTAATGGGGCAGTCCAGAGAATCCAGAAGAGTTAATTAGGATGTTATAGGTAAATCCACTTCCCTCTCCTGAGCTGACCTTCCTATCCTACCTTGGTTCATCTAAGTTTTCTTGACCTGGGTTTTGTGAACAGTGGTAATATTTCTACCTAATTGAGTGGTTTGCTTTTAGAAATTTTGACTTTCAAAATGTAGAGACAGGTCCAAGAATGCTCATACTCAATTTATAGCCCTGGCTTTGTGGACATCATTTACCTATCTCCAACTGCACTAGTTCAAATAGATTAGTGCTGAAATTTCACCGACTATTAGAAACAAGAGGAGCTTTAGAAATTAGCTAGCCCAGATTCTGCATTGTACTAGTAAAGGGGAGAGGAAAGAAAAAAACAGCCACTTATTGACTATGTCCCTATTATTATGTGGTACCTTATTTCCTTTCCTGACCTAAGCCCTACTCCCTGGGCTCACTGCAGAGCTTGTGGCTTCCCTGCAATTCCCACTGTTTGGAGGACAGGCATTATTATATATCATTCTCAAACTATTTGTCATGCTATAAGAAGTCGCCCTGTGCCTCAAGATTTCTCTATGGTGGCATTGGCAGCTACCCCCAGAGTTCCTGACTTTCAGAATGATCAGTTGAGAAACACAGAGATCTTATCATCTTCAAATCCACAGATTATTATTTAGTAGAATGTGTTTGGGTGTCATCTTTGGGAGTAATAGTATATTCACATATATACTTAAATGCAGAGGCAGATGCACTTAGGTTTACATATTCCCTAAAGAACCTAAGACAGCTAAGAAGGAAAGGGGCTGTTTTTCTGCTTTTCTTTTTGTATCTACCAAGTGGGAACAGCTTAAAAGAACTCCATGGTTCCCCTGTGACTGAGATGAGACTGGAGTTGGAGTTGCCCAGTACCAATGCCCTCAATTTCAGCTGAGGTCATTAAGCAATTTGAGAGACACGTGGAGTCTGCTGGGGAGGAATAATTCCTGCCCTTTTCAGAGGCAGATGTTCCCCGCTGTTGCCATTTACCTAAAGCTTGTCCTTATCTCTGCATCTTGCAGCATTTCGGTGCTGGACTACCCATGCTGTACCATCCAGGATTTGCCAGAGCTTACTACCGAGAGTCTGGTAAGCAGATGGGGATTTGTGGTCTTTGAAATTGGCTGATGGCAGAGGCTGGCATTTGCTTTTTCTTGTCTTCTCCAGCCCCATGATGCCACGGTTTGGGATCACATCGATGAAGGCATATTGGCAAGGGCTCCCACTCTCGTGCACACACACACACACACACACACACACACACACACACACACACACACACACAAATCCATCTTTATATTGTGCTATAAGCAATTTGCTTCTCATTTTCATGTTAGTTATCAAGCCCAGCAGTATTTTAGAAAATCCCTTGCCTCCTTGAGGCAAAATTCAGTATGGCTGCTGAAGGACAGCCCAGGAAAAGCTTCATTCTGAGGCAGGTCTAGGCAAATCAGAAAAGTTCCTCTCAATTATTCTGAATTCCCTGAAACTGCCTGGCCAAAAGCATGTTTAAGGTACACCATCCACTTTATCCTGTATTGCCACAGCTCTTCAGATAAACTACCTTCATCCTGTTGCATTGTAACAACTTCTCTGTAACTTTCTCTACATTCTTTGATGGGAGAGATAGTACCAATCTTCTAATTTTGTCTCCCTGTAGCCTAACACTATATCTGGCACATTGAAGACCTCAATAATGCTAAATGATGCTGCCCATGGGTGTGACAGCCCTTCGTTCCCCAACTTTAGTACCTACAAAGTGCTGATTTCAGGAAAGCACCTATGTAGGCCAGCTTGGCCTTGAGCTCAGAGAGATCTGCCTGCCTCTGCTCCTTGGTGCTGGGATTAAAGGGATATGCCACCAGGGCTACATTTGTAGACAGCGACACAGGGAAACCCTATCACACACACACACACACACACACACACACACACACACACACACACACACAGAGAGAGTAATTTAAATACACAAAATAAAAATATAAATTCAGCTTTCGTGGTCTGGATCTATTACTTTTTACATTTAAGAAAGTGATTACATTTTATTTGTTTGTTAGTATGTTGAGTGCATGTGTGCTGCAGCACAGCTGCAGAGAGCAGAGGGCAGCTTACAGGAAAGAGTTGATTCTCTTCTTCTATATGGGGTCCCAAAACCAAACTCAGATCATCAGGTTGGCAACAAGTGCCTTAACCCAATGAGCCATCTTGCCAGCCCCTCATTTTTTCCTTGATAACAATATGTATTTTGTCTCTGTTCCAACTCCATTAGTTCCTATATAGGAGTTGGTGGGAATTATACTTTCATATCACTTGTGGTTGACCTTTTGGGATATGAGCATATAATTGTTTATATGGTTATACCTTCTCTTAAGACTTTATTGTTATCAGCCAGGCAGTGGTGGCTCACACCTTTAATCCCTTTAATTGGGGAGGTAGAGGCAGGCAGATCTCTGAGTTCAGGCCAAACTGGTCTACAGAGTGAGTTACAGGATAGCCAAGGCTACAGAGAAAAACCCTGTCTCAAAAAAAAAAAAAAAAAAAAAAAAAAAAAAAACAAAAACAAAAACAAAAAAAAAGACTTTATTATTATCAAGAAAGGGCAAAAGCATGTATTGAATTAGTTAAAAGTCTTATTTTAGTCTTTCTGGTGAAACAATAGTGGCATCTGGTGGTTTTGTTTAGTAACCACAGACTTTTCTTAAAATATAAGTGCCTCTCCAGCCCAGTGTGATTTTGGTACCTAGAAGATTTATTCCATATAGGTTCTCAGTATAGTGAATTATTTACCTAAATGAATAACTTCTGTAGCCAGAAAAAGGCTAGTAAGATTTGTTACTGTTCAGGCTCACCAAATTGCAAGTGCAAGAGATATACTTACTGCCTTTGGTATATGTTATTTACTTTCAATAGCTTCAAGCTTTTTTCCATGATTACAAAATTAGTAACATACTTGAGGTAGAAAATAGGAAAACAGGAGTGGGCATGGGTGGATGGGAGAGAGAGGGAACTGGAATTGGCACGTCTAATAAGATTGTTTTTAATTTAAGTAAAAAGGTATTATAAATAAACAGCCAAAAAAAAGAAAATAGGAAAACAGAAAAGTATGGGGAATAAATTTAAAATATCTCCTATCTCCTACATGTAAACATTGCTTATATTTTACTGCAATTAAAATATACATAATCATTTATATAAAAACATTAGTAGCAAACTTTATATTTATATATAAATCTGTTACATATATATGTGTATGTGTTTTGCTTAACATAGTAAATTTACATGTTCATGGTAGGATTTCATTAAACAACTTCTTTTTCAGTGCTATTGAATATAAACCCAAGTACATGCTAAGCAGACACAATGCACAACCATTGAGCTCACCCCCATTAAACATTCTTCAGTAGATAATTAGTAACAGCTATCCATTATATTCTATTATTTAATTTTTTTCTTGTATTTTGAGACAGACATTCTTTGTATAGCCCAGCCTGACCCCAAACTCACTATATAGCTTGGGCTGGTCTTGAATTTAGAATCCTCTTGACTCAATCTCCTAAATACTGGGATTACAAAATGTGCTACTCTGTCCAGTTTTCTGGTACTTAACTTATTTATTAATTACTTTTGTTTTGCTTTGTTCTTTGAAACAGTTTCATGTTGTAGCCAAGGCTGGCCTCAATTTACTATTTAGCCACGATTGCCTTGAATTTGGTTAATCTTGCTGAATTAGCCTCCTAAACACCGGGGTTATAGACATGTACCACCATGTCTGACCCTTATGGCCTGATATTTTAATTTTAATGTATTTTTATTTTACTTATATTCATGTGGAGGTCAGAGGACAACTTTTGGAAGTCAGTTCAGTTCTGTCCTTCCTGCATGTGGGTGATGAGGGTTGAATTCAGGTTATCAAACTTAATGGCAGGCATATTTACCTGCTGAGCCATCTTGCCAGCCACCCCACCCCCATTAGTGTATTAAGATTCTCTTCTGCCAGGTATTAGTGCAAACATCTGTAATCCTAATACTCTTGAGTCTGAGGCAAGAAGATTGCTATTCAAGGCCAACCTGAGCTATATAATGAGACTATGTCTCCAAAAAATGAATTAAAGGCTAGAGATAAAACTGAGAAGCACCCAGGTAGGGTGCTTACCTGGCATGCAGGAAACCCAGAGTTTGATCCCCAACACTGGTGGCACGCACCTGCAATCCCAGCACTCAGAAAGTGGAAGCAGGAGAATTAGATGTTCAAGATCATTTTTGGCTACATAGTGAACCCAAGACCATCCTGGGATATATGAGCCCTTGTCTCTAAATAAATGAAGATTGTCTTCTAGTATTAGACATTTATCTCAGTATATAACTCAAAAAAATCGTTTCACTTCATATCTAATCATTTCCTTAAGGCTGAGTACTAGAAGTTAAAAGTAGAGTTTTTAGGCTAAGGTTTCCTGTATTTATATATGTTTCTGTTTTCTGGATTTGAATAGAATTCAATTCTGTTTCATTTGGAACTCTAGCTAAAAACGTAGTTGACATAAAATAAAAAAGTTAATGGCTCTTCTGTCTTTTTGTTTGTGTTTTTGTTTTGTTTTGTTTTGTTTTTTTGAAACAGGATCTCACTATGTAGCCTTGACTGTTGTGGAACTCATTGTGTAAACCAAACTGGACTCAGATTCAGAGATCTGCCTGTCTCTGCTTCCCAAGGGCTGAGATTAAAGATGTGTACCACCACTTGGAGACTGTTAATGCCATATTTATTTCTGAATTCTTCCCTATTTTGTCACAATGGTTACCTTTAGGATAGACCATATTATAAGCAATTTCCCCTCCCACCTAGTATAGGAAAACCTTAAAATTTCTAGATCCATGTATCTCCATTCAAATTCAGTCTACTAAACTAAAAAAAAAAAAAAATAAAATAAAATTCCAAATTTCATTGAAAGATTATGATGTGTGAAAGCCAGCTTGTAAACAGTTGAAGGCAGTGAACTTGGCCCTGGTATGTTTAATATTTTGCATCTTGGTGAATGGGTAGAGCAGTGAGTAGTATGAGCCATAGTGTATACAACATGATGTTTGATTAGATATTGGATCTTTTATATGTACTCATCATTTTTTACACTGTATGCATTATAGCAATATTATTGTGACATTTGTAATTTATAAGCAAACAAACATGTATTTGGACTATTCATAAAATTATTTTATATTGGGTGTGCTTGATAAGAATATGTAGAAACTACTACTTTAGAGTATAGTGAAATGAGAGCAAAGTTGCAGTCCTATATTTTTAGAGTATAGTGAAATGAGAGCAAAGTTGCAGTACTATATTTTTTGTAGGTCTATTAATTCCAAAGAGAAATCCTACAGGTTATGTCTCATCTTCCTTCCCTTTGCTTACTTATTTGTTATTGAAACAGAGTGGGTCTTACTTGTATAGACAAGGCTCACCTAGAACTTGCTAGGTAGCCCAAGTTGCCATCAAATTCAAGATCCTGCTTTCTTCCCCTCCCAAGTTCTGGGATTGTAGGCATATGCTACCATGTCTGGCTGTCCTCTCCTCTTAATCACAGAAAATGTGGAAAATGCTGTGTAAACCCATTGTCACTGCTGCAAAACTAACCAAAAGAGCCCTCCGATTTAATTTCTGCAGCATAGCATTCAAAGGAGGGATGGATATTACTTGTCTCATTGCTGTGACAAAAAAACTGACTTGAAAGCGGCTTTAGGAAGGGTGGGTCTATTTGGGCTCACAGTTCATGGGTAGTCTTTCATGGTAAAAAAAAGAAAAGTCCTGGCAGCAGGAACTTGAGGCAGCTGGTCACATGGCATTTTAGGAAGCAGAGAGTGATGAGTACTGGTGCTCCTTAACTTTCTCCTTTTTGTGTTGTTCAAGACTCTAGCCCAGTGGTTCTCAGCCTTCCTAATGCTGAGGCCCTGAATTGTAATGTAAATATCTGATATACAGGTTGAGAATCACTGCTTTAGTCTTTGGGATGGTGCCACCCACGTAAAAAGTAGGTCTTGTCACTTCAGTTACCTAATGTAGGTAATCTCTCACAGGCAGGCCCCGAGACCTTGTC